CCACAGCCAGCAGCGCTCAGCCCATTACATCCTCAACACTCTAGAAAGAGGTGAACAGACCCTCAGGACATCTTGGGATCTGCAGTGGTGACTTCTTTTAGTTTTTCTCCTTTCCTTCTTCCTCTCTCACTCATCCATCTTTTAGTAAATAAAAGCACGTCCTTGCTTCATCAACACATTTGCCGTATTCCGAGATTGCATTTGGAGGGACCGGGGTCAATATAACAAACCACAAGCCTCTTTGGCTTGCAACAGTATGCAATGGCACCTGGTTCAACATGCATATATTTCTGCTAATGCAAGATCATATTTTGACCCCACTTTTTAAATATTCAAGCCAACTTTAGCATATTGTGATGCTAGAAAAGTACAGAAAGAATGATCATGTTTAATCTTTTAAAGTCACAGGAGACATACACAGACCAAAATACAACAGATGCAAATAACACAGGCAGTTTTGAGAGCAAGAGCTGTATTCTCCAAGATGAGAAAACAGATCCTCAGCTCTACAGCAGCTGTGAACAGTGTGGAAAGCAGAGGTCCTACTTTCTCTCCTGTTTTACCAAAATACAATGAAGTCAACTACATATGATTTCAAATCTTGGATATTCTGAAATACACAGACAAGGCTACATGCAAAGTGAATATATTTTAGAAATAAGCATTCTAGATTTGAAATTGAGTAAATGTTAATATGACAGTCTTAAACTTCTTTTTCAAACTATCAAATTTTATACCTTATTATGTCAGTTATAGAATACCAGCAACAAACAAAATTAAGGAAAATATCTTGAGACTCCAAAAAAATGAATGTAGCTGCAAATTGGCTTAAAGTTATAACTATCGAGTCACCTGAAAATAAGTTTGATTACAGCCCTTGTCAGTTACACATATCACACAAGACATTGCACTCTATTAAACTGTATTGAAGACTGCAGCAACCATTTCTGCAGGATAGTTGCCAACCAGATTTCAAGATTTCTTTGTAAGGATTACTAGCAAACAAAAATTCAAATTGCTAATAATAAAAGAATATAAATTTACAGATACATTCATTTAACACTTTCTCCTGCAACTGGCTGCATACAAATCCCAGAGTCAACAAGCCTAGCTGCCAAATCAGATCCGCACTGTTTTGCTCACATTTCCAGATCTGCTAAAAGCAATAGGTTATATATGCAAGTAGCTCTATGTATTTAATTGAAAGTTCAAAAGATTTGAGCTAGAGGTGAGTAAAATGAGTTTGAATGCCTTATCTCAGGCACACATAGTATCCATAAATGATAACTATTACCGTATATAATAAAATAGTGCTAACACTTAAGATGAACATCCAGGGCACGCTTATAAACCATTCAGCAATTAATGCCCTTGTCTCATGCTTTCAATTTTTCAATTTTCAATAACTACTGAAGGTCACATGTTATGATGTCAGCTCAAATCTGGATTTCCAATTTCAGAAAGTTTAATTTTAAGTTACAATACTAAGATACATAATTAAAAACTGCTTTTATAAAGTCTCTGAGTTCTATAACAGGGTAAGATTATTCACTGCTACTAAAGTAGATTTCACATTTGAGTGCCACTTATTCAGCAAGCACACACCACTTGGATATATCTTCCAGCACATCAAACATGCCGTAATTGAAACATGCAAAAATAAGATTTATCAACACCGATATGCAACACAACACGCCAACACTTAGTACAGGGGTTTGTAGTCTGGGCCAACAGGAAATTAATTAACTCCCCAGAGCGCAATGCAAATTGAATCTGCCAAAAGGATTGAAGAGAAGGAAGAACAGGAGAACAGGAGTCTCCGAAAGAATTCTGAGCTGGAGGGAAATTATGGGAATATGATCCTTCAGAACTGATACGATGGAGATATTTCATGGGGTCTGGTGCTCAAGCATCATTCACTCTTTTATTCTCAGCAGACCAGAAGACTTCTCCCAATATACAAGTAGCATTTTTGAAAGACAGCTGAGTGGAGCTGACAGGTTGCCACCAAAGGTACTGCCCTTCTCCCCTCCCCTAGTTCTCCCCCTACAGTCCTGTCCTCACCCTCCCATTTCCCTTGGAATACCGCTTTTTTTTTTTTTTTTCCCCACAACCCTGCCTGTGACACCAGCTTACAAAGCTCATTCACATGGCAGCTACCTCCTCCTCCTTCCTCCACAACCTCCCTGGTCTTTCCTACCCAAAGCAAATAGAATTCAGGTGCTTTTTCTCCGTTAAGATAACTCTCTGTGGAACTACTAAAAGCCAGCTCAGGAATCGGGGTGGTTTCAAGCCCAGGCTATGGAACAACATTTTTCTGAACATTGCCAAGGTGATTCCACAATAATGGCTGCTTGCAGGGCTGGGGTTGGATATTCAGCTCTGCTGATGACTCATAAGGAATAAGAGGAACCAGGCACACCTTATCTCAGCTGTATTGGTTCCATGTGAAATATTAGCAGAAAAATCATTCCAGCTGTTGAAGTTATTAGGTTTAACATTATCATTAATAGTTGTTATTACATAATTTATTCTCTCCATGAAAGAAATACCTGTGGAATACCATGATTAAGCTTAAATCCTTCTCAAAGCAAAATCAAGCTCAAATGGGTTTCTCAGATGTACAATGCATGAAAGACCAGACCTATTATTACTGTAAAAGTCGATAATAAATGACAGGAAAAAGAAACAAGACTTAGTGCAGTATATTTATACACAGCCTTTGAAGTTCAACAGTTCCTATATTTGCAAAGCAATGACAGACAACAGCCATACAACACAGAGTTACTTCAACCTTTACAACAGAAGTGAGTTCAAAATGTAAACGGTCGCTAAAATTTGTTTGGTTTCAGTTGTGAGTGGTAAATTGTTAAAATGCTATTGTCAAAGACTGGACAGTCTTCTACAGCATTTTGAAATAATTTCAAGATTATCGTATCATCTGCAAGTTTAATGCAAAAAAGTAACTAAAAGGAACATTACAAAGAATTACACAGAACAAGTATGGACCTATTCACAGTTCTTTCTGTGCTCAACTTACTAGTGTATTTTCTTTCTAAAATGACTGAAGTGACCTAACTTACAATGCAAGATGTCAAAAATAACTCCTCATTCCAAGAAGCATTTTAAACATAGAATAACTCTACGACCTTCAGAAGACCCTCATTGTGAAGCAGTAAAGACATCTACATCTACAAAGATGTACAATCAAATGCAATGTCGATGTTCATGCAATTAAATTGGTAATATTACTTGCGTATTCTTTATTTCAAGCAGACAAGCGGACAAACAAGAATAATGAAGAAGCAGGGCCAGCATTTGTTATCTTACAGCTACACAGTGTAAACAAATCAGTAACCTTTAAAGGATTCAAAATAAGCTGCATTTTAAAAAGTTTATTGTAAAATGCAATATTTCTAAAATTTAGTTTAAAACCTACTTGAATACCTAACAAGAAAAAATAATCATTTTCCATAGCCAACGCAAGACAAAGATTTAGGAAACAACAGAAAAGCAATGGATTACTTTTAATGGTCTTAAAAATTTTGTAGAACTGATTTCTATAAAAATGAATATTAAAATTGAAAAGTTTGTCCTTAATTTCTATAACTTGTAAGCTTTGGAAGATAAGATAGCTTCTAGTGTTCTGAATACCTCCATGAACTAACTGGCACCTCAATGGTAACACATCCACTTTTATAAGAAAAGGCTTCAATTTTATTTCGAACTTAACAGGCATTCATTCTTCTCCTTTCAAAACCTAGGCACAAGTAACAAAGCACCAGAGCCTTATAAATTCCCCAACACCAAATGCAAATTAAGTCATGAAATTGCTCTAGGATATGTTCCAAGAATGCAAGCCCAAAGGAGTTTCAACGCAGTTTTTCTATTTCAGGCTCTTTATGATACTTCAGCAAGGTAACAGAATATTAAGGGGTCAAGAAGAGTTATCTATTTATGCAAAGATTTAATTATCCAATTTCAAAAACTTTCTGTATTGTGTTTACAAGCTTTAAGATGAGAAATATGTTTATAAGCAGTATAAACTGAAAAGATGGCAAAGGTTCTGCAGATCAAGCAGCTCAGAAAGTTTTAATTCCCTTGGAATGCCGCACTGAAAGTTTTAAACACTAACTTCATATGTTTTGCAAATGGCTATCATACTAGTGGATTTTTCTCTTACTCATAAATACATGAACTGCTCACTCGCATTGTACTAGTCTGTATTAGAAGTAAAAATACGCACAATTCCCTTCCCATTATGTGAGAAATGTGAGAAAGTATAAAGACTTACGTTTTATGTCAGCTGTAGGTATGCGCCATTACATGGCCATCTCCAGCAAATTGGGACTGTTCCCATAACAAAAAAAATATTTAATCTTTCAACAGTTGTCTTGAAAATGCCTGAATTCTTATGCACAAAGCAGGCATTTTAACAGATTGTATAAACAAAGAGCTGCTGATTTTTCGCTCTGCAGAGCTACTGCTTGTTTATCCCAGGGGAGACATCAGTCAAACAAGGACAACTTCAGTTACTGGACTTGCTATTATTTAGCAACAATCCCTAGGGGACTAAGAACAGTTCCTGAACACAAAGTTTGAGTCCACCAAAGCTCCCCAAAACATAAGAGAGAGACTACAACAAAAAATCTGCACAGTCATTTTGCTAAAACCTGGTATCAGAAAGCTACCCATGACGCACCTTCTCAGCCCACTCTCATTTTTCTGTCCGAAGACAGCTCTTTACCATTCCTTCCTCAAAAGATATGCTAGGTACAAAGCACTCAAAATAGTAAAACCATCCAAAAGTGTATATCTGTGTCTTTTACAAGTAGTCTGTTTTCTACAGCTTGCACCACTTTCAACGCATCTCAAGTGACTTTTCTTCAGCTTTTCAAAGCCTAGATCACAAACAGTAACTACTCTCTGTGTTCAGTTAATGTTGGCAATATTTTTCTTTCTTAAGTCCACATTTGTTTAAAAATGAGTTCTGTCCTTACCTGAAGATCTCAATTTTCAAGAAATCTTTGTCTTGTAGCCTAAGTAAAACGGGTGTAACCTATAATAGAACAGAAGGATATATCAATTACATCAACTTTTAACATGAGCGTTGTAATTCAATCACATATGAGAAAACTGACAGCTAATTTTTTTGTTACTATGCCGTGGCATGACTTTTACATGTGAGTTATGCCAAGTAGCAATTCTTCGGCAAGAACTGTACAATATCACATACTGACTCACTAGTAAGAAGTACCTCTTTCCTTCTCTAGCATTTCTGTTCAAACACAAAGATGCAAGCTTTGATCTACCTCTACATATTACTCCTAATGACTGTGTCGTGGTTAGATTAAACAATTAAGATCCCGCTAACATCCTATTTCTTGTTACTAAACAACCCAATCAATTGAATTAGGCACTTGGGGAAGAGGTACATGATTGGGCCCAGATGCACTCAAATCCCATCTAACAAACCCATCAGTAAAAACAAGCAAAAATGTTTGCTTAAAGTATAGATCTAATTTCATCCTAGAGAATAATCAGTAAAACCTAATTATTAATTAGCATCCTGAAATGTGGCTAAACAAAACACTATTGGCAGCAGTTTCTATCCACTAGTTTCTCCCTATCTAAAAACGTGCAGAGACACAGCAAAGATGTTCAAGTCAAAACACCATACATATTTGTATGCTGTATCTCCCAGATAAAGCACAAGTTACAAATTCAGTTTCTTACACATCTGAAAATACCACTAGATATCAATGGCAATTATATCTACTGCTCCTTAATCTGTATTTGGGGCCAGTCTTGTGTAAAACTTCACAGTTATCAGCCACTGAAGACTCCTTGCGGACTTGATTTTCTAAAGAGATTCACTTATTGCCAGCCCAAGAAGAGCTGTTATAAGATACTGAACATTTGCAGACCTCAAACTTCATTCCTTTATTTTTCTTTCAAGATAGCTACACAGCAACAGCACAAGTTGTCTCTAACCACACTTTAACCAACACAGCAAATTTACACACAGCCTCCTTAAACTGCACAGCACTGAGCTGACCATTGGCAGTAAAAGCATTTCATGCTCGGATATCTCCAGGAACCAGTGTCCAGTCTTTGTTTTCAGAGACAGTTCTGCAAGCAGGATACACAAGCAGAAGACTCAAATTACACTTCATTGACCAAGAAAAAGGAGATGGTGTTCAATTTCAGTTCCATAACCTCCACGCTGACCTGCATGTTTGTTGGCCTAAACAAAGAGATTTCAGGAAATGAAGGATTTGCACTTTGTCCAAGTTTTGTTTTCAGATAGAGGATCTCTGCCCCAGAGGTATGTGCTGGTTTGAAAGGAACTGAGAGGACAGCCACTCAACACTGGTACACATTCCTGTCTGTTCTGCCTCTCCAAGTTTTGTTTCTGCTTTGTACTCAATATGACCAAAGCAAACAAGCAAACAAACAAACAAAAAAAACTAGAAATGGGAGGTGGCCTCAAATTTGAATTCCTTTGTTTATTTATTTTTTATTCCTATATTTTTTGCTTCCTCTGGTGAAACTGTATGGAAGATTACCAAGTAATTTGCACAGTAATTATTTTCACATATACACTCAGGTAATCCAAACACAAAATTTGATCATATGAAATAAAAACACATCCTATCTGGAAATTTAAAAAAGTAATGGATGATTATGTTAATAAGATTCTCAGCAATGGAGTGCTATAATATAAAAGTAGGGTACAAAAAATTTGCCCCCGAGAAAAACAAGTACTTCTTCAGTATCCCCTACAAACTACAACATTTATTTGATAACTTTTTATTGAACCACCTTATAGATAAAGGTTGCTCACACGTAAGAATTTCAATTTGGACTCAAGAAAAGATTTTCCTTTCAGCAGGCCACAAAAACATTTCTTCAAATGGCATATCTTAACATCCTGCTCCACATAAAAACATATACGGTGTTAATAAACTACACAATTTTTTGAGAAACAAACATTCACTTTTCTAATGCAAGTAGGAAACACTATTTCACTGCATTCATATATGGGAAATTGAAGACTAGAGTTTCAGTTATTTACCTAAAACCATATAAGAAGGAAGCATAATCTGATGCCTACCTCAATTCTAAAATCTGCTGCACTGCCTCTGCATTATCTTACCTTCCTTTAAAAGGCTGCATAATTCTAATATCCTGTTGTGCTGCAGCCTTGCCTTACACCTCCTGGTCACATTTTATTATTTATTTTAGCTAACTAATTTGTTTGAATCTTCATCTGCATTCATATGGTACCTTCAGTTCCATAAGAAAATCCCATACTTCATGACTTTAGGTTAAGGACACCCATTGTAACTGAGCAAAGGCTAAGAGCCTTTTTTCTCTTAGGGTATAATTTTCACAGTTATTTCCCCACATTTCAAAATTAAAGAGAGCCAAAAATTCATCATTAAATTAGTATGTTTGTCTGTCCCAAATGCAGAGGTAACAAGTGCTAATTCCAGATGCTGACATTGCTCAGTTCTGAATATCCTGTTCACTGTCCAAAGAGTAGAGATGCCCTATTGTATACTTATTATAGAGTCCTAACTGTACACCATCAGTAGCAGAGGTACTGATCAGAGAAAGTTCATTTTCTGAAGTTGGAATGTTAGAGCAAAAAAACGTAGCCTTTTTTCATAATTCACAGTACAAGAAAAATGGTAGGAAAATGAAAGGTAGAAACTCATTTAAGATATGGTTTCCTTTACAGTTCTTTCAAAACTAGAAAAACAAAATATAAAGTTTCACCTTCTTATCTCGAATATGTAAATGTTTCTGATCCTGATCTCAGGCTGATACCAGTGCAGTGGCTGCACACAGAGCTGCTGCTGTCCATCTGCTTTATGCTGGTTTGAGATCGCAATCAGATCTGGGTCATCTCACCCTTGAGTTTGTTACCCACATAAATTAAGAGATTACACATAACAGCACTTGTATTAGTTGAAGTCTAGCTTACAGGCATAAAAATATTTCACCTTCTCCCCTCTACTTGCTAATATGGAACCTACTTACATAAGTGAAAGAGGAACAACTTCTTATTTGCTCTCTCCTTTATGCAACAGAAGAACACACTCATGCAGTTTGATTTCCCATGTTCACGGAAAGAGATCAAACATATGATATAATGTATTAAAACACAGGGATTTTTTCATTCTATTAGCTCATTACAAATATACTTAACTAACACTACATTCTGCATAATTACAAGCATTAAAGTAGTCATATGAGCAAACAATTTAATCATAACTTCTGTGGCTTGATTCATTTCAGTTTTCATGAGACGTCTACTTACACTGTCCTGGATGACAAAGATTTTGTGATCAAGCCACTAGCAAAAGCATGAATGCTGTAACATGCAAAGCGTTTGCTTGCCAGCAGCTGCTGTATGATTCCCTGACATTCAGAAGCAGAAGTACTGGGTAAGCAGCGTGTCACTGCCAGGTGGCTGCACTCTCTTCATTCAAATCAAGCAAGCCTTAACAGGAAAAGTAATACAGTAACACCAGCAGCTCAGCATGCAGTGCTGACCTTGAATACATTTCAACAAGATGGTTCAGACTAATTAACATAGCATTAGAAAAAAAAATGAAAGCACAGAACCTGACTTATATTGTTCTGAATATATTGTGCACACATGCTGCATTACCGAATTCCAAACCAAAATATTATATGCCTACATTAAAAACAACAGAAAGATTGCTCTGCTATATCCAAGCTTGAAAAGCAGCCTACATTCACAACACCAAGCAACTGCAAATGTTAGGTCACCTACACAAACACAACTAAATACGCTTCCTATATCCTCCATTGCTTTCAGTTTTCTGAATCACAAGGAATATCTCAAAAAGAAAAGTATGGTTCCACATGTAATGTTTTCCTTTAGTCTACATAATCTGTATTTTCTCTTGCCTCCTTTTATAAGTTAATTATGCTTTAGATTTACAGTATAGAAAATATACAGTTCAGTTGAAGTGAAACATACCAGACTGGTAGAAGACAGAACCATGGAAGGATCTAGTCCCAACCCCTAAATCCTTATTTTTCAGTACTTACCTTCTCAATATCTTAGATGAGGCTTAAGTGCGAGCAATAACAACTGCTTCCAAGGCTGATGTTGTACCGGCCACCCAGCTAAATAGAGGACCATTTAAACAGACTTTTTTTTTGATGTCCACTGAGACAACGAAAGCCACAGCACAAAGTCTGGTGCAAGTAGTAAGCTACATTTCTGCTCCCTATGACTGGTTTGTTCAACAAAACACTGCAGTTCTTGGGCCACCTGGTGTGATCTGGTTTATATTCATAATGGGAGCTGCCAGGGTCTCGAAACACATCGCTCACAGGGACAATAAAAGAAATATGCAAGAGACTCTGGTCTGTGGCCAGGTTTCCCAACTCCAGGATTTACTTTCCTTGCTTGAAGCAAAGACAAGGTATAAAATACACAGGAGGGATAGGAGTCTTTCACTCTCTCCCCTCTGTAAAAGGACAGGTGTACCTCAGAGACTAGGAGCTGGCTTGGATCCAGCTCCATTTCCTATGTGATGCTCTCACAGAGGAGCAAAATCAACATGGATTTCAATGCACAGCAGGAAAATAACAAGTTTGTTCCCACTCTGAAAAAAAGAGGGGCAGATTTTTGCACAGAAGGCAGGCTGAGAAGCCAGGTTTTGTTTTAGAATCAAGGAAGCTGCTTCCTGTTGTTTGATGTTCCCCCTTTAGGAAAAGGGCACATGTTAAATACTGCATCAAAGACATTCTCATTGCCATCCTGACTTCCACCTGTCAACTGAAACACAACCCCAAGCAGCGGCGGATGCCTCCCATCCCAGCTGGCACCAGCATGCTCTTCATTTGATGTTCCAGCATGAACAGGCTGAGAAACTGCTCTGCTATGGAAATAAAAGGTTTGGAGTCTGTCCCCTAAGTAAGTTTGCACTCTGTCCTACAGAGCCTGCATAATGCAAAATTGTCTTTCAATATTTGAGAAAATAATTAATTTCTATCACTACCAAAACCTAT